CGAGCTGAACTTAATATCCGGCAACCAGCATTGAAATTCTGCTAGTGAAATTATTGTACCGGAAAAACGGGACTTACCGTGCAGCCCGTTGGTTATCCTGCCTTCTTTTTGAATTCCGAATTGGAAACAATGATTAATTAAAGTGTAAATTTCGATTTCCGTTCACTTTCGTTTTTTTCTTTTTTTAAACTATTAGAACAACTTGTATCGCATGTACGATTGCAATCGAACGAAAAAACGTTCAGTCTCTGAAATTTTTGATCGGAACGGGAAGATTTATTTGCCACGGTGACATTATTTCGTGTATTTGTTTGCTATCAATAGGGGCAATTTCCGTTATTCTCAATACAAGTAAATGTATGCAGAAATTTCTATAGATTTCGATCCGCAAATTCTTCGACACCGTCTGTCTGACAGAGGAAAAACAAAATGATTGACAGTTCGTATAATAAATACACGTTTCCGCAGCGTCAGCTATTAATCCGCTGACAGTTTAAATTGATGAAATAGTTTCCCGGAACAAAGAGCACGAATCCAGTAACAAAATCGGAAAATTTGCTTTTTCATGTCGCATTGCAAAATAAATATTTTTTATACTGTTATTTATCTATTTTTGCTATGTATGTTCTGTGTCTTTCACTTTCTCATTTTATATTCTGTTCAATCTTTATATACACGTAGGCACTCTCTCTCTCTCTCTCTCTATCTTTCCGCCTGCTCGATTTTCTCGTTTTTCCACCCTGTACACCGGCCAAGTATCTAACCAGCTATACACACACTCCTGATATAACGAGAAATATACCCTGGCTCGCTCACAGGTTATTCGAACACAAAGCAAATATTAAGCTTCTTTAAACTATCGACTGGCAGTAACCGATACTGTAAAGGGAAACTGATCTTCAAAGCTGATGGGAATTGTGGACTAAGATTAGCAAGTATATTACAAGTACACCATATTTACAGTCTTACTTTACATGCTTTGATAGATCCATACGTTTATGAGAAAATCAAATATGCGTCAAAGGGCGTACATCTAAAGGCTACAAAGAGAGATTAATTGTTGAATTCTAATTATAACAATATGATTACAGTACTTTTCATTGTGGTTTTCGTAGCTCATACATTTTTATAGATTACATACATTCTTTATACTTCCTGCACATTCAATTATTTAAATGCGTAATGTAAATGCATAAAATCCGCAGTCTATTTATATGTATAGGTTCCGATATAACGAGGACTAAATTGAACAACAGTGAAATTATACAAAGAATTCATAGTATGAATTTCGTACTGAATAGAAACAGTTTTACATCGGAATGAAATTATTTATAAACATGACTGGTGCATAATTCTATACTTACTTCGGGTAAAGTATCGTATCGGCGTCGCTATTAATAATATCGACACGTGACTGCCGCAGCTGCATTTACAGCAGCTTCTGACGGAGACTAATGAACACCGCGCGATGGCGGAGGATGAACCGGGGAATGTTCTACGAGAGTCGATTTGCTCTTATCACAAGGAAAACTTGTTTCGGCGATAGGTAGTGCCGTATGTTGCCGCAACATTCAGATGTCGATCAAAAAGTACACAGCCGGTGAAAATCGCATCAACCTCAGAAGGGGACAACGGAGTTCCATTAAAGAAAATTTCAGGTTCAAGGGATGAAGCAAATATTTGCTGTTTGAAATACGTTCAGAAGAATATATTGGAATATAATTTAATTGATGATATACAAAAGATTCTGGAGAATAAAGTGGTGACTATTATTCAAAAGAAGCGAAATAAACGATGAGCAATACAAGAAAAGATTCATTTTCTGTACACGTTATTATCCCAAATATATTGTTTCACGTGGCTTTTTCATTTAATAAAAAAGCCCAATGTCGTTTATTAGTTTTCAGATTATAAACAGTAATGAACAATTAATAAACTGAAAAATAAATAAAAGAATTAAATCCTGATGGTTGGTGCTCGTACGTTAATTAAAAACAGAAAAATAGTGCGATGTTATTTCAACTTCAACAGTAAAATTACAAAAATGTAGAAAACGTAATAAACAAGTAACACCATTGATTTCTCTCAATGTTTAACAAAGCGTTGACATCTCAGTAAAGACAATGCGTCACGTACGAGGTTCCGCGTTTTTCAAACGAAGATCTTTATGACCAATGGGATTATATTCATTCGTTACTGAAAACACAAACGAAAACTAGGTTCCGCGAGTTTTCTTTCCTATTAGAAATAAAGCTCATTAAAAAATGTCCGGGAAACAGAATTTAATTAAACTTTGCGGTCCTCTACCGAAGTACCGAGGACCCGTTCTATAACTATTTAGTCGGTTTCATGTGTAATAAGATATACGTATATGAACATTATACCGGACTATCTGCATACAAGTCTCTTTCAATGTTATAAATGTTAATGAACCACGTTGGATCCAGTTGCATAGTCGAACAATGTGTAAAATTTCTAAGACCAGAATGCAGTGTAATTCCATTAACAAAAATATTTTTGCTCTTTTCCACAGCAATGGACATTTTTCTGGTTCGTTTCCTTTGAAATTGTAAACGTTCTTCAAAGCTCGCATTAGCATTTTTTTACAGTATAAAATGTGCAGCAGTAGAAAGGGAAATTATATGAATTTAAAAATAAGTGATGTGTGATTTACTACTAATTATACTACTACAATTTTTTATAACACACATTAAGATTTAATCAATAATATCAGATGACACTCTAAGCGAACAATTGTAGCATTTCATCTTATAATTTGAAAGGATATCGCACGGTCACGGTGGTAAAGAAAGGATTTATCGTATTGGAATGGGACTAAAGCCGTTCCACTAGAAACAGGCGGATGAAAAGGGGCGGAATATTGAGCTGCGAGTGATAATTCTCTCTCGCCGTTTAATTCTCGCTAAGCCGTGTTCGGTACGTATGAGAAAGTTTCGAGGAGATGGTGTAACGAGGCTGCTGTAGGAGAATGGTTTACACCACCGATAGGCGACGCCGTTGGTAAGAGAATTCCGTCTTGGAGCTGGTGAAAGATGAAAGGGTGGAAGAGGGAAGTATCAGGAGGAGACTTATTGTACCAGTAATTACTACTAATAGCAAGCTCCGTTTCTCTCGAGGAACAGAGGAACTCCTCTACCCCTGCCCGAGAGTACCCGAGAGAATTTCGCGTTCGTAAACATCTAGGGGTTATAAATTTTTTCCGAAATTCCGTGGAATTTTCGTGCGTTCATCGAGATTCTCGTCGGTACTCGGCGACGCTTATATTACGCGAAGGAACGCGTCTCACAGTTCACAAGAAAGATGAAATTCGCCTGGAGACGAGATGCAGACTTTTAAAGTTCGTCGTATAAATTCTGTAGCGTAATTGCTACACCTGTAGGACTTGTAAATTACGCGTAGACATTTCATTTCAGTGTTCTTAAGATACAATCACAATTATTCAACACAGTTAATTGTTTCACTTTCTCTACGCCAAAACAGCATCGATCGTGAGAATTGAATACAAAATAGGACACACTCGATGCTCAGTGTACATACAGACACTTATTAAACCACATGTTAACTAATCTTGGACGTGGTCCAAGTTTGAACCTGATAAACGATTTCTCTTCTCGGAAGTTTCAATATAATATGGAAGGCATAACACGATATCTTTCGGGCAACTTTCTTGGTCACCATCCAAATTTTCCCGACATGCTCACGATGTTCCCCAGAATTATTAACCTATTTGTATTTCAAGGATGTGGATATCATATCAGTTTTCTGCTACCTTTGCGCATCACAGGCATTATTAATTTTCTATCAATGATTTTTAATTACGATGATACGTGAATTTTCAATCCAACGTTTTCCATGAATGCAATTTACCTCGCAAATCATTAGTAACAAAGATCTGTTTTACTTAGTATAATGAATCAGGGAAGGAAATACAAGAAAATCGTAACTTATTCTTGACACTGAGATTTCGCCAATAACTTCCGATTCAGGCATCTGCGTGCACAGAAATGACAGTCATGATACCAAACGAGACCCGAGTGGTCGATGCTTCAGCCCTATCGTCGATGTTATTCTCGGGGTGTCAGTGTCGACACTTTCAGCCGAAGGATTGGTACGCGTTACCATGAGATACATCTCACGGTTTGGCTCATAGTGCGCACGAGATATATTTTATGCAGTAACATTTCCTCGACGATGTCTGAGCGCAGGAACAACCCCTGCAAAAGTATCTCATTCATCAGAGAGGCGCACCGTCTCAAACATTCCGTATGCTTTCCCCGTATCTTTTCTATTTCATTTTACTTCACCCTTTTTGTGTGTTTACTCAACTCCTTTCCCACTTTTTCTCGTATTTCTTTCCCCCGCCACGTTTTATCATCCTCTCTCTCGCTCGTTTCTTCAGTCCTTTTTCATAAGTTATTCCCTCTACTCTTACATTTCTACATATATGATATACGTACGAATGCTGCGTTACTTTTAGTACTAAACTACGATCAAATTGTATTTTCTTCGAGAGGAATACTTGATGCATTCTTTAATACATTGCAAAGTTAGAGTAATACTTCCTTTCGCAGCGTGTAACTAGGTGTATCATTTTGGCTAGCGACAGATATTGCAGCCGGCAAACTTTCTGACAAATTTACTGTATAACGAGAGGCAAGGGAGAGTCCGGTTCACTTCCTCTCCTATTTCCCTCCATCAGGCCGGGCTAAATCGATATAAATCAGCCGGCCTCGCAAACAGCTTTATCCAAGTTGGGAAATCGAAACGCGTGTACACCTCGGATCGCATAGCACCGAGAGGGTCGGGTTAAATAATATCCGTGTAGAAGCAAAGCACGAGTCCTAACCGACTGGCTGCCACGCCAGTATCGTCTAGCAGCCGGCTGTCCCAGATCGTAATATCGCTTTAATTATGTGCGCCGTATTTGCGCCAGGCCGCGTTATTAATTTCGGGGTCCTCGCCCGTGTAGAGAGACTTACCATTACGACCTCGGAGGATAGATACGTCCCCGACAAAGCTCGGAGCGACAGGCTGGCTGGCTGGCGAAAGCGCAACGCAACGGGGTCGAGAGCTGTAGATGCGGCTGTTGCGAAGAGGTTGTTTCGCCCTCCTCTCGCTTTCCTCCCAGGATACCAGCATGGCAGCGGGCCACGGATGCGTCGTTCGCTTAAACGCGGCGCGCGGCTCATCTTCGAGATGTTATTGCGCCGACGAGAGCGCAGTCCCGTATGCAAATTATTTCGGGCGGTAAATTAAACAGCCGAAACCGAGGACGTAAACGCTACCGGCGAAGATAAAGTCGTACCATTTCGTATCCCATCCTTTCTCCTTGTCGACGAAAGCTTGTTCCCGCTGTTCGGAACGCGAGAGCCCATGGCGGGCGCTTGCCGCCGTGCTGTAAATCATCGCGAGCGAGTGGATTTTGATTGCGAAGAGCGGCGCAGCGCGCGCTGATATTCCGCGGCGTACCTATCCGCGGGAAATGAGTTTTTCGAGCCGGCATTGTTTCGTCGGCGGAACGTAGGAGTTACCCGCGTCGATGTCCAAGCCGAGCATTTTTATGGTCACCCCGCGCTTAAATCCGTTTCCCTTCCTCTCCGTTTGTCATTCGGTTATTTACATATTCGAATGAAAGTATAATGCGCTCGCCTGTATTTACATGATAAAACAGAACGCTTTGGGACGTGATTAACGACGTCGTGTTTCGCGGTCGCAGGAAAATTGGAGATTTCTCATTTTTCTAACGAACCTTGGCGTGGGCAAATGGATGAAAAGATCAAAGATAGAATACACCCATTCTGTGAAATACGAAAACTAAAGAATTGTTGATGACAAAATACTTGCCCCGTGAACTTTACGTGTATTTCTCATATAGCTAATAAATGCAGTCTTTGAAGCGTAAGATTTACAATCTACAATAATATTTTTATAATCTAATAAAAATAAATTAATACCCTTTCACAATTAATAAAGTAAATATTCGCCGCGCAGTAATCCTTTTTCCATTTGAACCAAACGACTTTCTCGAACTAGATTTAATCAATTAAAGCATTGTTCTCCACACGCCAAACGCTAATATCATGTACATAAAATACGAGATGGGCTCTACCAATTCTCCACGTAGCGCTTCCTCCACCCTCGTTAACGCGATTCCCACATAATTCGCCGTAAACCTAGTTTGCTCTTCGCGTCCATTGTACATTACCAGGAAACGAATTGAAAGAACGTTCATTCGTGATACAATTTCCACATTTGAACTCATAAAAATTTTTTCTCTTACCTTCTCATTATTAAAACAATTGTACATTGTACTCCATCGTACAGAGAAATATTTAAAATTGCCATAAAAAGCATCAATTTAGCATGAAAGAATATAAAACTGTATGACTAATAGAGGCTGTTCACAGTTAAGCATTGTGCTTAGTAGAAATTGATTAGCTTTTTCAATCTATGGATGGGGTTCAAGAGTAATCCACGGTATCGCAACGATACAGGAATACGCCCTCGTCGTTTTGCTGTTCATCCTGCGGACGTAAATCTGTTGCGGATGCGACCAATGGTAGCCGCGGAGGCAGACGACGCGACGAGAAGGGGGCGGCAGGGGTCTATTATTTTTACCGATGTAATTTCTCCTCGTTTTCCAGACAGTTTGGTCGGTCGTCTCGCGGAAAATGTAACCGCGGATTGCGGTCACCCTGCAAAATAAATAATCCCCGGGAGTCTCTTCCGTTTCTCGTTCCCATTCTGCCTAGCGTGTCTCTGCTGCTCCCCCTCCCTCTTCAATTTTTTTTTTTTATCTTCATTGCGATACTGTCATCTCGTTACACGAGCTCCATGTTCGTTCTTCGCGTTCCTCTGTACACTTTCATACACCCTTCCCTGCTAAATATAATATGCTGTCTTTGTCAAGCGACGAACGAAAAGTTGTTTGCTTGTTTATCGAGATTTGCTCTGGAGGAACATTTTATCGTCGAGGAAAATAGTCACGTTTCCGATGGAAATGTGTATTAAGTAGAGTTATGTACCTGAGCAAATTGAGGGATTACAAATGAGGATCTTAATTCCTCAGAGAGAAGAATTTTTTTAGCATGCTTGGTACTCTGATATTATACTTTCTGATGAGTACGCGTTGACTTGGTGTTAAAGTACAATATCCAAGCGTCTCGGGCTGTTGAAAAGAGTAAAGAACGGATGCAAACTTTCGGCTCGCCGCGATGGGACGCGAACGTTTTGATGTAACAACGTCACCAGCAGTTACCGCTAACTTTAGTTTTCGCAAGACGACGTCGCGTCGTACTGCGTCGTTTTCCACAACGATACAAAATTTCAACTACCCATCCACAATGATGTAAAGACGTTCCATTGATCTTTCATCGCCGATTAAATTTCGTTGTTCAAACAAAATCTTAAGATCTGATTATATCCTATTGAATAATAAATCCTACTTTATTAGTTATTTGTTATCTACTTCTATTTAAGGATGTATTGGCTATACAGTCAATCCCAAAAGTTTATGCACTTTAGAAACGCNGTATAGGACCTATCTTGTAGAGGACGACGAGATCTAGAATTTCTGTATAAAAACTTTTCGCTAGCCTTAATAGTTCACGAGTTATTCGCAAAAAACTGTTTTTTCGTTTTTCGTCAATAACTCGTAAACTATTAATGCTAGCGACAAACTCTTATGCAGAAATTGTAGATCTCGTCGTCCTCTACAAGAAAGGTCCTATGCAATTTTCCCGTAGGACCAACGGTTTAGGAGTAATTAAGGAAAAATAAAATTTTTTGCCAAAAGTTCGCCGTTTCGACGCTGGGATGGTCGGATTTTGTCAACATCAATAAAATGCCAAATAATCATACGTAACTCGTTAAATATCGAAGTTAGAAGGAAAACAACTTTTATTTGAAGCATTTTTCGCAATTTTGAAAAAGAAAATTTCGAATCATTCGAAATCGATGACAGCCTGTACACATCTGTACAAAATTCTGCTGATGATTAAACACATGCAAACGTAGAAACAGATTATAGATATCTTCTTCATATTTATTATGCTGAAGTAAAAAAGTTCATATCTCTATTCCCTCTATCTCTACTTAAAAGCAAGCGATTTTCAATATTCAATAGTTGAAGTAGGATAACGGAAAGTTTCAGAGAATGATACTTTCCCAATAATCAGGATAGTTATATTTAAAATTGAACGTGGATGGTCGGCCTGGCTAAGTAGGGCGTCTTTAAACTTTCCGCGCTTCAAGAAATTCAGCGAGATACCCGAATCCAGTCAGCTTATTTTCCACCTAACGTTTTTCTACACGCAGATAGGTACGCGAGAATGTCGAGTTAAGCCAGGTAGTTGGAACGTCTTGACAGCGTTTGGCTGAATTATATTTGAATACCATTTCTAACAGTATTTGATCAGCGTGGCAATAAACTTGATTCACAGTTTTGTACTTGTTGGGCGGGAAGTCTTCATTATCTTGGAACTCGCGGCGGGTGAGAGTTCAAGTCGGGCGTAACGAGGTCATTGTGGACAAGTTTCTTGGTCTAAGACAGCTTGTCAAACTTGGACACGTTCCCAATGAGTTTCTCAAGTATCACTTCGCTTGTTCCTAAACCTAAACGAATCCGAGCCCACGAAACTTCCATTTGATTTTGATACGCGCAATCGATCCGAGCGGGACATGGATGGATTGTAGAAGCGTACAGAGCAAAATATTCATCTGAATAATTTTATTGAACACATTTATATATTTCATAGCATCAAATATTACACTGATTGGGAGCAAAGGTAATGTAATATTATGGCATCGCTCTCCGCATTTCTCACTACTTCTCGCATTAACACAATTACGAAGACCGTTGCGTGACTTTAATCAGAAAATCTGCATAAATATGCATAACAGTGTGCCTGGTATGCGGCCAATTTGCATTAAGAAAATCGGATATGAATATGCGTGTCACTCCACGGACTTGTAAATTTCTTCAACACCTCTGATTAATCTTTGAATCTGATAATAATGGCATCAAATAGGAAAGCGAGAAAGAAAAACTGTTTTAATGACAGAAACAAAGAGCAAGAATCTTCTTGGAATCAGCAAACTGAGCAGGAGGAGACACCGCGAGAGGACCGACGGCGTCTAAAATTTTTCGCTATTCGCTGTCGAATATCACAGATTGTTTTCAATATCTTTTCCGTACGATCACGCTGCGTTACCGATTCCTGCACAGACGCGATATCGAACATTTTAATAAAAGGTGGCCATCTTTCCCTCTGCAGCTCCCGCTGTTTGAACGGCAAGGACATAACTCCTTCTTCCGTTGCAAAGAAACTTTGAAACGGAGAAAGAACCGAGGACGGAACTCGACAGCTTGATATAAACTTCAATATTAAACCCGTACACCGTGTATACGATATTTATTATTTTTCCACTGTTCTATTGAACGAAAGTCATATAATAAAGCTTTTGCAGACTTTAATGGTTTATTACAAATCCATTGTACGAAAATAATTAAATTCCAATACGAGGAGAGTTTTAATAAGAATAATTACATTTCTATTTACAATTTCAACTTGTAACTTAAAACATACTAACAATAAGAATAAAAGTACATACACACTTGAAACAATTTGAATATGCTCCCTGAGCGGATTTCAGTAATGGTCAGTACGGTCTTCCAGTCTATAGCAGAACGGTTTAACCAATAAAATTCGAGCTGACAATCCAACCCGACTCTAACAAATGGTAACAGATAACGTATATACGAAAAAGGTCACAGCCGTCGTGAACGATAAGGCGAAACGACAGTGACGAATAAGCTTTCGAGTAGTTTCGCGAGAGGGTTTCCGCGAGTGCAATTCCATTGGCGAGGCGCAGTGCGGCGATGCACTCGAAGCCGCGCTATCATGCACGGTCCAGAGCAATTCCAATAGGCGATCCATTATCTTAAAGCGGCGTCGGGGCCTCCGATCGATTCACGCCTCCACTTTTTTCCAGTCCCGTTCTCTCGCCTATATCGGGAAATGCGTCCTCACTCCCTTCCTATCCCCCACATCCTCCTCCCCCGCACGACTCTTCATTTTCCACCGAACCGCTACATCTTTTTTTTGTCGCCAGACTTACAAAATATTAACCGACATCGAATATTGCATTCGTTCTATAAACTTCAACGTCTTTTCTCTCTAGTTCAATTGCCACTAAACACAGCCGCATCAGTTTTTTGTATTACCTGTACTAATGAGTCATACCTCCATTCTGCAAACTTATTCTTAGAGATACACTGATAACTATTTTACGAGTACAATATGAATATCTAAACATGTAATAGATACAATTGTATAAACTAATATAAGTATAAAAATCAATGAATAATTTTTTGTTCAGGTTGCGGTAGTATAGTACCGAAAACAACATGGGGCAAGGTAGCAACCACGGCTTACGCCATCCTCGGTATTCCCTTGACTTTGGTTTACCTCGCAAGTGCCGGAGGCCTTTTATCCAGGTGTGCGATGGGCGTTTTTACGCGTGCCCTCTGTTGCTGCCTTTGTTCTAATTGCGGCTATTGTTGCTACGATGAGAAACGAATGGAGGTAAGTCGAGCACAAATCGTAACCGTTACACTAAATCCATATTTCTTAAAACGTACACCCACGCGATTAGCTCTTAGCTCGAATAAATCCGTTTTTATTCCTTATATAAATAAAAAGACATAATCTTGACAAATGTATTCTGAAAAAATTGCATCACTTTCCACGCGTGTTAATATAAAAGTAAAAGAAAAGAACGAAGAAGGAACATGCTGTTAAAATGGCATGAAATGCAGGAGAAAGAGAGGCGGATGAGGAAGAAGAGACAACAGGAGGAATTGGCGCAGCAGCAGCAGCAACTGCAGTTGCAGGAACCCTTTTACGTCCGGGCGAACGCGTCAACGTTTACGAGCACAGTGGAAATTAAGACCAGCCCGAAGGACGAGGTGTCGAGTCTTGGTTCCGGTGACAGACCCAATGTCACCATACTCGCACCAATCAGCATTTGTGTGGGCGCGATGCTCTGCTACATCGTCGCCGGGGCTTTTACTCTGCACAAGTTAGAAGGCTGGTCCTTTATGGGTATGTGCAAAGAGATCTGTCTCTCGAAAGATTTACTCTGTAACCACACTCTCAAAGCCGCGTCGCACGTTGCATGTGCACGAATCGTCAGTATACACGCGATGACATGTCTACATGAGAATATTTCCACCCGTAGGCTAGAAGTTTCCAATCAAACGCAATGGTATCTCGGTTTTAATTCCAACCAAACCGATTTGCAAATATCCCTGCCTCGTCGTCGATCTACCTACAGCCTGAGATACTAAAAATTCTGTACATCCTCTAATACACAATGTTAAAATAATTATTCCTTCAGATTGCATTAAAGGTGTATACAGATAAGGATATTGAGATATTCAAATCAGTCGTGTATTTAGCAATTAAATGCAGCGTAGAATATTGAATTTCATAAAGTCTTATTAAAATTCTATATTCGTATCGCACAGCTAAAGTCTTTCATGTTCTGACTACAGATGCGAGTTACTTTTGCTTCATGAGCCTGAGCACGATCGGGTTCGGCGATATGGTACCCGGTTCCTATCCGCGGCAGAGCCTGTACGAGACGCGGAACGTGACCATTTGGTTCTGCTCGTTCTACCTGATGTCCGGGATGACATTGACGGCGATGTGCTTCAACATACTTCACATCGAGATCGTCCACAGGCTGAGCCATCAACCGCTGAGCCATCAACTGGAAAAACAGGAGCCGGTGAAGGCCAGTCCGAGCGTCGACGAATTGTCGACCGATCGGTTCGCGCTAACCTTGTGACAATTTCCGTCCGGCAACTTGTGCCACAGGAACGGCACCGAGGAGAACGATATCTGTGGAACGGAACCGCCGACCAGCTTGTTCGCCCACGAGAACGAAATCAATATCCTAAAGGACACTTTCAATCAGGTAGACGTGACTAGGGACTGCAAGCCGATCTTGAAGCTCGAGGATCACGTGCCGTCGATTCCTGGTGCGTACATGTTGCCGAAGGTTGACGAGGAAGCCGAGGAGAACACCGAGATGTAGGACTTTATCCTCTCGTACGTTTGATACAGGTAACGGAAGTGAAGGATGAATATGTGTGTTAGTGCGGTGGGACAGAGACGCTCTCCTTGTGGGATACAAACAGTGCCCGAATGGATAAATATCCGTACATGTTACAAAGAGAGAGGTAATCGTTCCATTGCTAACGTAAGACAGTGCGCGTTTTAACGTACGATGAGAGAATTGAATAAACACGTATTATTTTGTGTTCATCGTTGATATTGAGGACTGATCTCGTTGGAAAACGGTAACTGACAGCTTTTATATGTTTTTTCATAAGGTCTCTTTTTTAACGGGGAACCGATCCTTCACGAATTAGAATTCTTCGATCTGAAAACCGAATTCGTGTTTCGTCTAAAGAACAGGTACGACGTGTTAACGAATCTATGATCTGGAGTACTTAAGACGAAAACTACAATAACATACGAGAAAAATAATGAGAAACAGTTGGAATGTCGTTTCTTGTGCCAGGAAACCAAATATTTCCGACTTAAAACGAGTGATTAGTTTAGATATTGTTTTCCTAATATTTTCTTGACTCTTCGTTTAAAAGATGTCAATTATCAAGGACACAGTTGAATCGAAATTATGGAAGTAGTTTAGCGGCGATAGCTCAGGAACGCAAATCGACGGCCTTTTAATGTGAATATCGATACGAAGATAGAACGTCGAAAACCGTCGGCGTTTACTCAAACTGAGCAAACCGAATCAAGCAAAATATAACTGGCACGTTAAAGTAAACTCGGTCCAATTTGACGATATAATGTCGTGTTTGATAAAGCCAGTAACTGCATTACCCAACTTCTAAGTACGATATCCTCAGGATATGCGAAGTGTCTCCTAAATGTTCTAGGAAATTCCTAAACTTCCTGCAGACGTTCCTACGTTAATCCTGGTTTAATCTTAATCATCATTCGTTCCATATTAGTACAATAGAATGTGAAATCCGTGTTTTCGTCTAAACAGTTGTCGTACACAAGCATTAAACGACATAACAGGATTATTTTACATATAATATGACGAGTTAATTTTTAAGATTCTACATAAATGTCTACTATACATATAATTATTTTAGTTCTCTCACACGAATGATAATCGATATGATATCAAAAATAAATTCATAGTTTTTGTTCGGAAATTTCGATATCGCATTATTTCGTCAATTCGGAAATGACATTCTAACGTAGGATAAAACCAACTTAATGTTTCTACACGTCTATTTAGATAGAAACTCGTAAACGGTTTTTTATATTTCCGCATTTAAACACTCACAAGATAAACGTTCTTATCTGTAAAATAACTGAGAGATTGTTGCGTCTAGTCGTGTAAGATTGACTATTAAAAAATGCACAGACACTTAAATCACTTTTCATCACGTGTTAACTCAACAATAATTTTTTGAAAAATTATAATAACACTGCCAGAATAAAAGTATTATTTATCAAATTCACTGTTTTGATAATAACAATGAGCTTTATACAAATATTTACTAATAAATTTTATAATAAATGAAGTTTTTTGAAAGGAAACCGCGTAAGTCATTTTCTAATACAGCTTTTTTACATATATTTTCACTTTTTGACAATTATTTGTACGATTAATGTACAAGCTAATCGTCAATCGTTATTATACTATACGTTACGTCAACGACTAGACGTAAACATCAATGAAAATAAAATCACGTTTACATTCTGTGCTCAAGAACAATAATTAAAATACTGTTGCGATTAGATAATAATCTTTAAGAGTGTCGCATATAAAACTACCCACAATGTTTAATATCGGTATTCGTGATAGAGGATCAGATTATGGAATACATAACATGTATAGTTGTAAAAATAATATTTTCGTCGCATATTGAGCAGACTTTAAAATATGTGAACGATTAACAGGTTGCTCCCTTTTGCCATAATTGTTTTTACTAACAAAAACATTTATGTTTGATCATTTTTATTGGCAAAGACATTTGTTATACTTGAACTAATCAAGTTGTATATAATAAAATGTTACACGGCAGAATAACGTTCCCAGGAAACATATTTAACCGGAGAACTTATTCCGGAAGTCTGCTCTGTAAGCAACGAAAGAATTACGTCTTAGCGACTAAAACAAGTGTTTTTCTGTTTTCTTGTAACATATCATAAAGTATAAGAACATAAGAATTTAAAGACCTAAAACGGAGAAAGGAAAATTGAAACGATCGACGAACAATATACAAGTTCTAATGATTACGAAGTAAATTTGTTCGCGTTGAGTCTTGCACATTTTTGTAAATAACTGGAACAATTAATATCAGTCAGTTACTCGTGCAGTAAAAATATTGAATTTTTAAACACTTTTTTAAATGTAAAACGTAACAAAAACTCTACTGTTATCTTACTGCACGAATAACTAATTGAGTTTAGCCATCCAGAACATTTACAGGAATTTATATGACATTAATATTCGATGTCTTCGGATTAGAATGTTAAATCATGGATTTTGAGATGTGCAACAAATATAGAAGTGAAATTTCTTAATGATGTTCATAATGGCAATTGGTGTCGACTTGAACGATTGCTGAAGTTATCGCAACGTTTTCGGCGATTCCATTGAGAATCGTGGCCGATGGCCAAGACAAAGTTTGCCTTGATGCTTGCATCAGACCATCCAGCCATCGATCCAGCCTGGCTGACCGAGCAAACTTCCTCACACTCGTTCGATTCATTTTGAAGTGGCATACGCGTTTCTCCAAGCTGACGCTTGGATTATTTGTTGCGGGGAACCACTTGCAACTTTTCTTCAATTCACGTGATTCCCGTAAATGTTGTTGAACGCATCGACGATATTTAATATGAAATTTTAAATAAAACCGGAGACGACAGTAAGAAAATGTTATATGAACGGTTCAAATGATTTTAATAAAGTTCTTTTCTTAAAGAATTTTATTACTGCATTAAAATTTTTTATAGACACGTGGAATGTGTATATCGCAAAGCGAAGAACGCACAAAGTCAATTACATTAAAATAAAAAGAACATTAAATTTCACAATATAAATACAAGAGCAGATTATATAAAAGGAAAGGTTCGTCGATAGTTCAAGTGAAAAATTAACAAAACCGTTGCGTAGAGAAGGGGATATTTGAAGAAAGGAAATGGTTTTGCGCCGATTCAATGCTCGCGATTATCGAATCGGCGGGATTTGCTTCTACCGTCCTTCCACATCAGCGAATCCTATACAAAATTTGCAATTTAAAATAATAATTCGAACGTACACGATATAACTAGATCTTGAACCACGTTTGTGATTAACTTGTAAAAAGATCACTGAAAGTGATGATCACAATTGATTGACGCGTCGCAAACTACATAGATAACAACGTAATCGTAATGATATAAAAAAAAAATGGCGACATTGTTAAAATTTTTCTACATATACATATTATCTTGTATATAGCATTAAAATCATTGTATGATATTAATACCTATAGTTGATATTTAATGTTAGAGGAGTACTATCAAAACATTAGGCCTGGCGAATTTCTATTTTTACTCTCGGTCAATTTTGTCCAATATAAGAGTTCTACGATTTTAATTGTAAAGCGCAACAGCATATACAAAAAACCATCAGACGAGGAAACGCGGACGGATACATGATTTAATGTTTTTCATTGATCGTGATGTCCGAATATTCCGAGAATAATAGTTACACGCATATATTATAGCGTTATTGCATTATCAGTTCCACGGAATGTAAATTTTTGTACAGAACAATCTGTATCTTGCATCACTGAATACTAATACTAACTTTACTCATTCACTTATCATTTCCATAACATAACATTAAATAAAACATTTTTTATTGATTCTCTGTCTTCTCAGAACGTTGCGTACGCGTGCGTTTCGTATTAAAAAAACGTCATTTATTTGAGAACGAAAGACTATTTACCCATTACGTTCTCATACTTTTATATTCATAAATTTAACTATAATTTACGTGAATTTAAACATAACGTGGGAGAATCGTGTGAATACATGTCACATTACGAAACGATCAACCAGTTATTAATAAGAATTTGTTTCAATCATAAAAATATTGAATGAAGAAATGTTTATTTTTTATTCCTTTTCCCTTTAAGAATTACGATTATTTTTTCGTTCAATAATTCGTAGCAATATACATGACTTTTAAAAAGTGTACATGTAAAAAAAGACAAGATTGTATATGAGCAAAAGAAAGAAACACGAAAGAAGGAAACTAAAATGTTATGTAATAAACATAAGAATCAATTAACACATTGTAAATACTTAGTTAAGAAATTGAACATTGTGAGAGTGCATTCGACGTCACTGTAAAATACACGGAAAAACGATCGCTGAATATTGTACGTCTGTATAATCGTTTGTCGGACAATGTATCTTATATTACAGGATAATAAAACACGGAAAAAGACTTAAAAAAAGGATTAATTTAATCTTTCGTACATGACAAACTCATATTCCTAAAAAAATATATTTCCTTTCCATTCAGTATAATCGTACAAAAGTTTTACAACACGCATTCGAATCACGGCTCGTAAGTGGAATATCCTCTTAAAATAATCATTGTTAAGCGTTTTTATATAGTACCCGTTATGAATTATGAATTTCAATCTAATATCGAGCACGATACAGATCTCTAATCTACCTGCGAGTCTCTTACCAGGGAAATCGTTCTCTACCGACAGGGATTGTATTCTTAAATTAACTAGTCAATTAGAAGAAGAAATACATAAAAAATAAGTACAAGTGTTGTTGACAAATTTATTGGCACCACGGCATTTTGATATTTTTAAATAAATAGGATATTATTTATTGATGGCAAAAAATACTCTTGATCGAAAATATTAGGGCGACATCCAGTAGAGAGCGTAAGTGTTTAATCGGACCGGCGCACAGCAAAGACGGAAGAACATATGTTTAAGCAGTAGCGCATGCGCAGTCACTGCTTCCGCGACGTACCTAGCCATCTTTCCAGTCAAGCAAAAGTGATTGTTTTCAACTTTAGTCTTATTTAACGGAACTTTTATTAATGTCAGAGCCACAGTCCGCGCTTCTACTACGAAAACAATTAGCAGGTACCCAACAAATGCAGTATAAGTGCTAACTGTGATCCGTGCCACAATATCGGGCTTAACGAAAAGCCGGAACCGTTCTCATACTCGAAACTCGTGCGATCTCGTCACCGTTGTGCTTCGACCCTCGAGATCGGCTTTGTGAACATTTTTTCTCCCCAAGATATCGGTTTCTCGAAACCTCTGTCATCTTATGTGAGCACCGATTAAATCATCCGTAATCTCACGTCGGCCCTGCGCCTGATTAGGGCGTGAAAATCAATACGGTCACGGAACCGTAGTGTGCCTCCCATGAATAACTTTAACCTAGCATTTAGTATCGCGTTCGCCTGCACTTATGCCCAAGTCCAGTACAAATTGTCCTGTGGGTGATTTTCATGTATACCGAAAGCTATTTTCGTGGTTACCGAAAATAATTGCAAGCAACGTTATTTATAGCATTTCGCGCGTCATCGTACACAACCACGGTTAAGACGGAAAGCAAAAAAAAGCAGGGAAAAGCATGCCGTGCAACGACCACCGAAGGTCAACCGTCTTCGAATTATAACTCATAAATTATATTTCACGATGGAACAATGAGATGTCTAGTAATCTACATTCACCGTCTCTTTCGTTTTATTCTTTAAATTGACGGTTAAATCCCTTGTTACAATTTTTATACATTAACCCAATGCTGACTCACTGACGGTTATCCACTACACTTGAATTTAAACATAACCTCTACACATGTTCAATGACAGTGTTCTCGTGACTTTTCGAAGTAGTATACAGAATTAGTGGTAATGGTTTTTGTTGAATATTTGTGAAAATATAACTCATTGTTTGTATTTTTAAACTGTTCAGTGTTTTCTTATACAGATATAATTTCAATGGTCTGTTATTATTCTAGATTTTATGTACTTATACTTTTATTTAATCCTCGAAAACTAGTGTATCATATTTGTAGTTGTTAATAGACATTTGACTTCAATGTAAATTGCTGATTATACTTTTTTTTCTAGAATTAAATAAAAACCCAGTAGAAGGGTTTTCAGCAGGCCTCATAGATGACAATGACATATATCAGTGGGAAGTACTTATTATCGGACCTCCAGACACATTATAGTAAGATTCTAATTGATTAAATAGTTATATATCTACATTTAATTATATTATTTGTCATATATGTGTATTTACAACGTTTTCTTGCATTGTAGTGAAGGTGGGTTTTTCAAAGCACACTTACAGTTTCCAAAAGAGTATCCACTTAGGCCACCAAGAATGAAATTTATAACAGAAATATGGCATCCAAACAGTAAGTCCTTTTATTTTATTAATTCATTATACATAAATTAAAAATAGATATAATGTAATAAATTTATATTTTTAGTCGAGAAGAATGGTAATGTATGCATATCGATTTTGCATGAACCTGGAGATGATAAGTGGGGCTATGAAAAAGCATCAGAACGGTGGTTACCAGTTCACACAGTTGAGACTATTCTCATAAGTGTAATTAGCATGCTTGCAGATCCTAATGATGAAAGTCCTGCTAACGTGGATGCTGCCGTAAGTATTTGTGAAATTTATGTCGTTATAATTTGCAACTGTTTTTATGAAGATTGACTGGAATATTGCAGAAAGAATGGAGGGAAAGTTATGCAGAATTCAAGAGAAAGGTGGCGAGGTGTGTCAGAAAAAGCCAAGAAGAGTGTTTGTAGGAGATGAACAATTATGCAAATGGAAAGACTTATTTAATTCTGGTAGGCTCTGTAACGTTTACTTCCATGCGAGCAACGAGTAATCAATCTTATACGATTGAGTAAATTTTCTCTACTATGTTTCTCTGAAGGGAAGCCGTAAGCACTGTAAGAAAGAAACCGATGCTCAGCATTAAGCTAATGGATAACAGTGCCACTAAAAACGGATAAGCCTGACCCATTCTTAAGCAGAAAGAGGGAGGCAGAGAATGTGTGAAAATAAAACTCAAGTCACACACCTCTATCAAGTTTATACCACCGCCACTGACGTACCATCCATTGATACAAAGAATATAAGGGAAATACATGCAATTCACCTTTTACATAATAAACAACTAAAAAACTAATTTACACATATACATAATACAAAAAATTATCTGTACGATTATTACCTTAATATTAATAGTTATAAACTTAACTTCCCTGTTCCTTCTGCTCAAGAGCTAGCCCCACCCTTTACACTCAAAAGTCTGTAATTTAAAAATGTTTACGTTTCTCATTGAATAATAATTTCTTAGTGGCGTTTCGTATTTTCTTACTTTCGTAAATATACATAAAAAAAATTTTGTAAAGTGGAAGTACATACTTATGTGTGTGTATATACATATATATACGCATATGTATGTATACTCTATAATTGTCAAATTTAATGCTAGTAAATCAAGAATGGAGATTAAATATATCAATCAATTGTGACACTACGGCAAACGTGTAATATTGAATTGAGCTGTACAATCGCGGCAATGTAAAGAAAATGTGAAAATTTTCCGTTGAACCGTAAGTTGCCAAAATAACGAATTCTAATTAAAAAGATAATAACGCTAATTACGATATTATTATTAGAGGTATAACACCATTTAATAACAACTTGTAAACGTAATATAAAATGTCATACATTGCTATAAAAACTTTGTACACGTTTTTTAACTGCCGGTGATCGAATGCCCAATTCAATCTTTTCTGTTACATGTAAAACTTGCGGTTCGAAATCATAAATACATTCAAAAATTTTTTATTCGACTATATATAATTTCATATTGTCAATTAAATTCTACAATATGAAGATACGTCTATTATATTGAACCCATATTCTGTTTCTGTTACAACATTTCTAACACCTACCATCATAAGCGACTCATTCCTTTTATAACGTGATTGTTTTTCTGAAAGCATGATAGATCTTATTTTAAATCAATTGTTTTAAATAAGATTTGTTTTATTTCATAAATTAACTGTCCTGTTATTACTTTGTAGTCTGCTTCTTATATTTTATTTTCTATTTATTTTAACTTCACATGTATCGTATACTAAATACTAGTATCAGAATTTAAGTTCAATATACAGGGTCTCTCAGAAAAGTGTTCGAACCGAAAAGGGGTGATTCTGAACAACAATTTCCTTTGGTAAAATGCAAACTGAGCCATGATTTTTTAATTATTAACGAAAAACACTGACCAGTGAGAGCACGCGTAGGATCCGCGCCCAACCACAGGTATGTTGGCCCGAATCGTGACCAAATATGATTCTAAGCAGCAATCACATATATGTGAATTATAATTCTGTATATATTATCAATATGTGAATATTTTGAATCATATTTGGTTAAGGATCGCGAAATAAAAATTCTGAGATTCATTTCTATTCTTTCATTTATTAGAATTTAGCAGACTTTTATCCCAGCAATATTTTTCTTAATTTATCTTAACATTATCAACGCAACGGCGATACGATACGTAAATACGAAAATAAATGGGTACTGTTTAAAAATGAATAACAATGTATAACATCAAGATAGGACAGATATCTAACTTACCGATTTATAATCAAATTCATCGTCACACAATGTAACTGCAATGGCGAATGGCCAGAATGTCGGCATTTCGAGACAACACGTTGCGCAGTCTACTTTATGGTTTATTTACGTTGATTTACGGAATCTACACCGCGGCCGCGTGTGCTGAAGTTATGGGTTGATGCTACATGAATAATAATTTCTTAGTTTTCCGACGCAGTTCAAAAATATTCGGAATCAGAATTATTACTGACGTAAACTTACATATTTAAAAATCGGATATATAAATCACGATACAATAATATTGTTATGATATTTTATTCGATTTGTTTCTCATTGTCAGTTTATACCTTTGAATAAAATTCTTGGTTTTTGTTGAACCAAATAATTTATTAATCATGGATGATGAACAAAATGGTTTAACGTTACCTGACACACAAAATGCCGATTCTGTATGTCTAACTCAATCACAAGAAGTTACTCAAGAAAGAGTTAAGAGTGTATGGGGAAGATTATGTCCCATTAAATTACCTTTTAAGACAGTGGGTAAGCATACTAATTCTGATGGACATTCTTTTTTCATCATTCATTACAAACTGGTATTAAATGAAAATGTTTTTATAGAAATGGCCAAAGATGTTTATACATTAGGTCGTGCTGACACTTGTGACATTTGTATTACTGATAGGGAATTAAAACCAAAATGGCTTAGTGTCATGAGTAAAGTACATTTTAAAATAACCAGGGAATTCATCGGCAGGGGTACTAATGATATCGTAGTATACTTAGAAGACTTAAGCCAGAATGGTACTTTCATTAATAAAGAAAAAATAGGCCGAGGGAATAAAGTAGTTCTTGATAACAATGATGTAATATCCTTAGCACAACCTGCAGTAACGGGTAAATATGTAATTTTGTACTTTAACAACATGCATATTGATTTTCCGTCAACAGATTATTATAATATTTATCTTTTCCACCAGTTTATGTATTCATGAGTACAGTAGAGTTTGAGAGCAATGACTTACCCCTCAGCTTAAAAAATAAATATGCAGTATCACGAACATTAGGCTCAGGAGCATGTGGAGAGGTGAAAATGGTTTTTACTAAAGTTGGTTGTAAAAAATTTGCTATGAAAACCATTATAAAAGTAGCTGGTACTACACATGGGCAAAGACATCCATTAAATGATCCTGAAAAGATTATGAACGAAGTGAAGATATTAAAGTCTTTAAAACATGTAAGTACATACGGAAATCATTACAATTATATGATGTACTAAATACTTTGCTTTGTAGCCTTATATAATAAAAATGGAGGAGATAGTTGATACTCCACGGGCAGTGTACATAGTCTTAGAGTTAATGGAGGGTGGTGAACTCTTTGAAAGGATAAAAAACAGGGGTAAACTATCGGAAAAACATGCAAAAGTAATCTTTTATCAAGTTGTATTGGCTGTTAGTTATCTTCATGATTGTGGCATAACACACAGAGATCTAAAGGTATAGCTTTTTTAAGTAACTTTCATATAGTTTGTTTGACAAACGATAATTAAATATATAAACGTTACTTGTTTGTAGCCAGAGAATATATTATTGGCTAGTGATTCAGACGTTACACTAGCGAAAGTGTCAGACTTTGGTTTATCAAAGTTAGTCGATGCACAAACAATGATGAAGACATTTTGTGGAACTCCCATGTACGTTGCTCCCGAAATATTGTCTACTATTGGGCGTGGTTCCTATACAAGTCAAGTAAGTTCGAAATGTACAATAAGAATTTAAAAATAATTAAGTTCTCACTTCTACTATTTTTAAACTTACTTAGGTGGATGTGTGGAGTTTGGGAGTGATATTATATGCTTGTCTAAGTGGCATTGTCCCTTTCAACTGCAAGGACAAAACTATTAGTTTGCAAGACCAAATAAAGACAGGACGTTATGCGTTTCCTCAATCGAAATTTGGACATATTTCGAACAAAGCCATAGATCTGGTATAAATTGTTATGTGATAAAATATGATTAAATATAATTATAATTGTATGTAATAATAAAATCATCTTTTAGATTAAACGTATGATGACGGTTAATCCGAAAAAACGGATTACAATAAAACAAGTTTTGTTACATCCTTGGTTGCAAGACCGAGACCTACGAGATACGATTGATTCTCTAACATCGGAAGAAAACGATGAAAATGCAATTCCAAAAATTATTTCAAAAAACATCCAATACAAAGAGAACCAATGTCAGAATATATTAAAGAAGGCAAGATTGGATTTATAACTACAAAGGCTTGAATTAGATACATAAGATTTAAGTAAAGTGACATATTGAACAAGAATGTTTAAGTTTACATTGTTTCAAGAGTATTATATCTTTTATATTTAGAAAAATATTATTATCTTGATGATACGTGATATTATTTAACACAAATGACCTGCTGTATACGTAAATATGTAAGTTAAATATGACAAAGAATGTTACTTTCATTACGTAACTGTAAGTATATAGAAAAACTACATTAAATTATTTTAACCAACAAGTACAATTATAGAGTGAATAAAGTTAAGTCCATTACGAAGATACAAAAGAGACTGTTATAGTAAAATACATATATGAAAATGTTATAAGGAATAAGAGTGCAGAACCATATTTTTGTACGTTTGTAATTTGTAGAAATTTATTTAAATAAATGTATTCGTCTTGCTGGAATTTTCATACGAAATGTTTGTTTTTCACATGAAACGTTATCGCATCACACAATTTCCATTTGCGTAATTTTTTCAGTCCAAAATTAAATGAGACCTCGTATACCATAAGAAAAACCGGTTTATATGTTTATATACAATTACAAAGCATATCAAGAATAATGTTTTATTGAACATTTGTTTCATTTATCTATCTAATCTCTTTCTCTACAAGGATATATGTCGTCTTCGCCGGGGCATGGATTCGGAAGCGGTGTCTCCAAGTCCGGTCTTTCTTTTTTAGCGAGTCCCGCTAGCATTCGTTTTATCTGAGCTATCGCCTTCCCTGGATTTAAGCCCTTAGGGGATCGATACAATAATGAATTACAGATTTTTTTAATTGTTAGGCGTAAAATAAATTTTTGTTTTCATACCTTCGGACACGTTTTTGTGCAATTGAAGATAGTATGACATCGGTAAACCGAGTAGTAATCGCGTAACTTATTAAGTCTGTCTTTATGCGTTATGTCTCGTGAATCTATTATCCATCTATATGCCTGTACAATAATCACGTAATTTATTAAATAAAATTCTTATTTTTAATTAATTAAATAATTAAACGAAATTTGCAATATGTTTATACCTGTAAGAGGGTTGCAGGACCTAAAAACTTATCGCCAAGCCACCAATACGGTGGACAAGCGTAAGTGCAACATCCGCAAAGGACACACTCGTACAGACCGTTCAGTTTATCTCTATCTTTCTGACTTTGTAGAATTTGCCGCAAGCCGACAAAATTCTCTTCACCGGGTCGTTTTAAAAACGGTTCGATATCCTGATATTGTTTTAAAAACTGATCCATATCCGATATTAAATCTCTAATCACGTACGAATGCGGTAAGGGATACACAACTAAGGGTCTTGATGAATGTTTAACTTTTCTAAAAGAAAAGGAAAAAGCTACTATATACGGTTTTATGATCAAAAGGAAATATTTGTCGTTATTTAGTGTCTCTCTTTTTTCGAATATTCGAAACATACTCCTAACTAAAAACTTATTACGAAGCAAGAAAAAATAGTCATTCCGCATTACGTGATGCAAGCCAAAGTATTAACACCGTTTATATTCATTCCACAATTTCCGCAAATCCCTTCGCGGCAGGATCTTCGGAAGGACAATGTGGGATCATATTCCGCTTTTATTAACGCCAACACGTCCAGCACCATTGAGCCGCATTTATTTAAATCCACACTGAATTGCTGCATGTACGGTTTCACGTTTGGTTTTTCCGGATTCCAACGGTACACGCGAATAGTCTGGAGCTTTGGCGGTGATTTTGCTATCTTGCACTAAGAATTAACGGTGCTTTAGCAAAACTTTTGATATAATTGGACGTATGTTCCTTTTAAATGTGATTATGTTAAGATTTCTAACTTCTGGAGGTGTCTTGCACTCTTTTATCAGGGCAATTTCGGCTTTAATAATATTCGGTGTGTCAGGTGATTTCTTGTCCTCTTTTTTCGCACTGCACAAAAGTCTTCGGCTTCGATGGCAATAATCATTCTGACATGTGCCTCGACGAAGAGACGCGATCGTAAAAGACCAATATCGGTTCACATGATTGATGGTGTTGAGATTGAACATACTTGTAAAAGTTTCACAAGAGTAGCCTTCAATAAATGTTTTTTAGACTATATAGGCATATTTCGTTTTTCTAATCTTTCAATCATTTCGTTTTGTGATAACTGTGTGACTTCCCGTTCAAATAGAAACAAAATATCATCGTTCGCAGGAACTTCACAGTTATTCTTCGATTTTATTATCCTGATTCAGCCTTCATTGAGAATCTCTTTTTCATTATCGATGAGATACGTGACGCCAACAGTTTTGCAATAACAACAAATATATTTCCTATCTACTGTTTTAAACAATTTGTTTACCGCGCTTATCGTTGCATTCCATATTGTGTCATTTATTATTTTCGAAGTTTTACACCGAGTGAAAAACGTTGTGTACATT